ATATATATATATATATATATATATATATATATATATATATATATATATATAGTGTTTGTGTTTGCATACATTTTCATATATTAAATCTCCAAGTTTTAAAAATACAACTCCCATTTTGTCGTTTTACAAGAGCCTTTTTAAAAGATGAAATTGCTTTTCGCTCGTTTTTTTTTCTTTTCTACAATTATCCCTGGAGCATTGATTTTAAACAGACCGAAAAAGGAGGGAGTTGCACCCCTTAAGCAGAGATATTAAACCGACCAATCTGAAGGGGCCGCTATTTAAGGCAGTCTGAATTTATTCTTATTTTATTGAATTGTTTGAGCTTTAAAATATAGATCTGCAAGCGGATGTCTGAAAGTATAGATCAAGAAGTGATAATGCCAATTACTTTCTTCTTCTTCGTTTTTAATTTTAGTGTTGAAAGGGATTCCCTCCAACACAATACGTGTTAACTGGTTATGCGCCATTTAGGCCGTTAGTTTGCTTCCATAGCCTTTGTCCAACCAAGAATAAACTACAAGACATCAGTTGTTTGATTTTGGAGTTGTCCCTCCTAGATGAGTGGCTGTCCCCATCTATCGAGCCTCATCTGCTCGGGGGTTCGAACTCGGTATTTCAGCGGTATTGTATTTCTCAAAACAAATTTTCAACGTTCACATAGTTTTGACGTAAAAACGTTAGTGTGAACATTGATGTCATCTCGACCTAGAAGCTATAAAAGTTGTTAATTTTACATCAACTGTTTTACTCTGATTAGTTTCGAATCTATTAGTTGACAGAACATTGGTAAATCAAATATGATCTTGTGCTCACTTTAATCTAATTAACTAGAAACTCGCTGTCAGATACATCATCATAGCCGTCAGGGGTAGGCGTTTATAATTACACAAACAAAATTTATTTAGCTTGTATTACACCGTAGAAAAAAAGGACTGAACAGAATCGGTCGATAATTCTGACAAACACTTTTTTCCATTGATCGCAAGAAGAACACTTGAGAAGGCATCAGTTAGGCCGCATCAATTATTGACCATCATGTGCGGCCCCGTCACTGGCCGCTTATAAAGAGAGCATATAAACAACAGATGCGTGTGTAATCTCGATTTCAGAGGCGAAAAGTGGGTAAGGGGAAAGAAGAGAGAGAGAGAGAGACAACACAAAGCTTGTTGAGAATGATCTAATTTTTTTTATCCAGGATTGTTAACAAGCAAGACAGCTTCTTTACGGTAGCACTGCTTGCAACAGATCGCTGCTGTTAGCTATGTTTGTTACTAATAGATGCTGCTAGCTATGTTTGTTACCGATAGATGCTGTTAGCACAGTGTAACTGATAGATGCTGTAAGCACAGTGTAACTGATAGATCTGTAAGCACAGTGTAACTGATAGATCTGTTAGCACATTGTAACTGATAGACGCTCTTAGCATCGTGTAAACGATAGATGTGATAGCACATTGTTCGTAACTGTTAAACGTTGCTGTTTGTTCACCACTTTATAATTAAATGTTGAATTGCCCTGTTTTTAGTGTTGAAGTATCCGATGTTCAGTGTTGAAGTTTTTAAGTGTCCTACGTTCAGTTTGAAGTGTCCTCTGTTCAGTTTTGAAGTGTCCTCTGTTCAGTTTTGAAGTGTCATATGTTCAGTTTGTCTTGTGTTCTGTACACTGCTTTTAACGTTCATATTTAATATTTAATTTACAGTTTGAAAATAAATGCTAATAAAAATAATACATTATGACATATCGCAGATTATAAAATATTACTGACCTTTCCTAGCAATATAACTAGAGTATAGAGGTCAGTGCGCCGAGGCTGCTTTATGCCATGACTTTGTCAATCTTTTATCTATAATGGTCTCTCATTTTCAGACATCATTCTTGTATGCTATCTATAACGGTCTCTCACATTTTTTTTTTACTTGGTGTAAAACGGAACAAGCGAATTACTTTTTAAAAATTTTTTGTCCTTTTTTTTCAATACGCACAATTCAACTGTTTCTTATTCTTAAACTGAATTGTCGTATTTCAACAGTTAAACAGTCGTTTTTTTACCCGTAAATATCGAGAGAAGTAGAGTCATGCTACAAAACGTGAATATCAACAGCTGAGGACTCGTTTCAACTCGTAAATTTCATTTTAACAGTTGAACTGCCATGTTACAACACGTAAACTTCAACAGTTGAACTGCCATGTTACAACACGTAAACTTGAAGAGTAGAAGAGTTTCAAACAACACGTAACCTCCATTAACTAAAGCTCACGCGGCCTGGGGTTGATTGAACAGTTCCATCAAGATAGTGGAGCGCATATCCCAAGCTTGTCAAGCTAAAAGATATTTATCCCAAATTTGTAATATAACCCTGATGATTTCTTTTTTACTTTCTCGTACATACGAGGTATAGAGAAAGTCTTGTAATCGTGCAAAAAAAAGAGATTTTTGCAGATCTCGACGTTTTACACCTTCCTGAGTCGGAAAAACATAGTTTTGCAATCTTGTCCGTATGTCTGTGTGTGTCTGTGTGTCTGTAAACACGATAACTTGAGTACCGTTACAGCTAGGTTGATGAAATTTCATATATAAGTATTATATCAAAATCGTAGATCCGTATCAACTTTTGAGTGAATTCCGATAACCGGAAGTGGTACTTTTCGACTTTGAATTTTTCAAAAGCCTATAACTTGAGTACTATTTCAGATGGATAAATAAAATTTCACATGTAAGTAAAAGATCTAATTCTCTACCTTCTGTCAAATTCTGAGTCATTTCCGTTGATCGGAAGTAGTAATTTACGCTATTTCCGATTTTTCAAAAAAACAAATGTAAATTTATAAAGTACTAATAATATTCCGCACTATTATGCACATTTTATTTGGCGTTCACTTGGTGTGCAATTCTTTTTTCTACGAGATTTTATTCTATTTTAAAAAGTTTAAGTATTTAAAATGGATTTAAAAATCATGTCTATATCCCGAGTTCCCATCCCCTGTTGTTTTATATAAGAATATTCGACAAAGTTTAGGCATAGTTGAAGGCATACACTAGAAGTACAATGTATTACGCCATCTCAATATATCTTGATAATTCATTACCGTCTTGTTGGGCATTTAAGTCGCTGGACCCAGAGGACCCTTTTATGTCGAAAGTTAATAGAGGGACCCTGTTATGTCGAAAGTTAATAGAGGGACCCTGTTATGTCGAAAGTTAATAGAGGGACCCTGTTATGTCGAAAGTTAATAGAATGACCCTGTTATGTCGAAAGTTATTAGAAGGACCCTTTTATGTCGAAAGTTAATAGAAGGACCCTGTTAGTGTTATGTCGAAAGTTAATAGAATGACCCTGTTATGTCGAAAGTTAATAGAAGGACCCTGTTATGTCGAAAGTTAATAGAATGACCCTGTTATGTCGAAAGTTATTAGAAGGACCCTGTTATGTCGAAAGTTATTTGAAGGACCCTTTTATGTCGAAAGTTATTTGAAGGACCCTTTTATGTCGAAAGTTAATAGAAGGACCCTGTTATGTCGAAAGTTAATAGAATGACCCTGTTATGTCGAAAGTTATTAGAAGGACCCTGTTATGTCGAAAGTTAATAGAAGGACCCTGTTATGTCGAAAGTTATTTGAAGGACCCTTTTATGTCGAAAGTTAATAGAAGGACCCTGTTATGTCGAAAGTTAATAGAATGACCCTGTTATGTCGAAAGTTATTAGAAGGACCCTGTTATGTCGAAAGTTAATAGAATGACACTGTTATGTCGAAAGTTATTAGAAGGACCCTGTTATGTCGAAAGTTAATAGAATGACCCTGTTATGTCGAAAGTTAATAGAAGGACCCTGTTATGTCGAAAGTTATTAGAAGGACCCTGTTATGAAAAAAGTTAATAGAAGGAGCCTGTTATGTTAAAAGTTATTACAATGACCCTGTTATGTCGAAAGTTAATAGAAGGACTCTGTTATGTCGAAAGTAAATAGAATGACCCTGTTATGTCGAAAGTTATTCGAAGGAGCCTGTTATGTCGAAAGTTAATAGAAGGACCCTGTTATGTCGAAAGTTAATAGAAGGACCCTGTTATGTCGAAAGTTAATAAATATAGCCCATTATTAATTAGTTCAGATAACTGTCAAAGCTGAAATACAATCAAAAGCCAATCGATGGTGTTTTCTATCTCTGATCATATTTTGATGTGAACAAAATCATGAGTCATTGGATGGTGTTTTCTATCTCTGATCATAGTTTGATTTGAGCAAAAGCATGAGTCATTGGATGGTGTTTTCTATCTCTGATTATAGTTTGATGTGAACAAAATCATGAGTCATTGGAAGGTGTTTTCTATCTCTGATCATAGTTTGATGTGAGCAAAATCATGAGTCATTGGATGGTGTTTTCTATCTCTGATCATAGTTTGATGTGAGCAAAATCATGAGTCATTGGATGGTGTTTTCTATCTCTGATTATAGTTTGATGTAAGCAAAATCATGAGTCATTGGATGGTGTTTTCTATCTCTGATCATAGTTTGATGTGAGCAAAATCATGAGTCATTGGATGGTGTTTTCTAGCCCTGATTATAGTTTGATGTGAGTAAAATCATGAGTCATTGGATGGTGTTTTCTATCTCTGATCATAGTTTGATGTGAGCAAAAGCATGAGTCATTGGATGGTGTTTTCTAGCCCTGATTATAGTTTGATGTGAGCAAAATCATGAGTCATTGGATGGTGTTTTCTAGCCCTGATCATAGTTTTTCTTAGATTGAGTTCTTAAATAGGATCGCCATTAAATAGTTGGGCTAGCCTTTGATCTTATTGGATGTCACGAAATCTGATTTTATTTTTTCGACTGCTGTAATATTCAGTATTGATTTTTTCGCGTTGGCTGCTATCGATTTGTTGCGTTGTCATTTAATTAGTTGAACTGTCTAGTGAATGTAAGAACGTGTTGCAATAAAGTTAGGCTCCGTAGTACAGATGCATCTAATCAAGTCAGGCTCTCAAGTAGAGCTACCACATACGTCAAGCTCCACAGCACAGCAGGGCTTACATACAGTCAGACTCGGCAGTATAGCTACATTACATGAAATTATGGTTTTGTAGTACAGCTACATGCATTACATTCTTGTTCTGCATTACAGCTAAATACCATAAGTATGGTTTAATACTACAGCTACTCACAATAAACTAGTAATTTAAAATTGACTTCATATAGCCCACATTTGGTTCTAGGTTGACATTCTATTATGTCGGAGAATATTTCGAGGATTTCTTCTCAAATGTTTCTTGTCTTGCAAAAAATTTAAATCGTCCGTTTTTCCCCAGTCATAAAAAGTAAACAGAGTCAATTTTTTTTATTGCTTCACGTTATAGTGAACACTTTACTGTAGCTTTCAAATTTACCACTGTGGATTGTTTTTAAAAATGTATTGATTTTGAAGTGAATGGATTTGTGTCTGAATCGAATTGTGGGTGGCTAATCTATTTAATTTACTGCTCAACTCGCGGAACGGGTTATACACCTGTGCGCACCGGCACGTGTTTTAAATGTGAGTAATAAATAGTTACTCATGGTTGCTTAAGTTGAATAACGTTGCTTTAAAAAAAAAACAATTGCTGTGCGGTGAATGTTGTACACTGATAGGCATATAAATATATTTTAACTTATAAACCGTTAATAGTCTAAAAGATTTTAAAAAGTTATAGACTCATTATAGTTAATTCAAATATGTTTTCACTTATAAACAGTTTATAGATACAAATGTGTTTTAACTTTTAAACTTTTGATAGTCATGCTAATAAATGTCTTACAATAAACGTCAACTCTGTCAGGAGTAGATCTATGGATTTTAAACAGGAAATTTTAGTTTCTGTATTTATCATACATATTTTAGACATAAAATATTTCCTACAACTGGATTCTACAACCATATGTTTTTTCAACTGCATTCTACTAAGATTTTATGTTTACTACAATATGCTACTAATGTATAATGTTTTCTGCAATATTCTACTGACATAAGGTTTAACACAACAGTATTCTACTGACATAATGTGTACTAACATAATGTTTACTACAACTGCATTCTACTGACATAATGTTTACTACAAATGTATTCTACTGACATAATGTTTACTACAATTCTATTCTACTGACATAATGTTTACTACAAATGTATTCTACTGACATAATGTTTACTACAATTCTATTCTACTGACATAATGTTTACTGACATAATGTTTACTACAAATGTTTTCTACTGACATAATGTGTACTGACATAATGTTTACTACTTCTGTATTCTACTGACATAATGTGTACTGACATAATGTTTATTACAACTGTATTCTACTGACATAATGTGTACTGACATTATGTTTATTACAACTGTATTCTACTGACATAATGTGTACTGACATAATGTTTATTACAACTGTATTCTACTGACATAATGTGTACTGACATAATGTTTATTACAACTGTATTCTACTGACATAATGTGTACTGACATAATGTTTATTACTTCTGTATTCTACTGACATGTTTACTATCACAGGTGACATGACCTGACCAGGCTGGCTGTGGACATTGATGGCGTCCTCCAGTTTATCTCGAGACAAACTTACTGATAAACGTTCAGTTGATGACGAGCTAGAAAATGGCGGCCTCTCGCCGCAACCATCAGTGAAGACGAGCCCCCATGAAGATGACGTGTGTTCGGAGATCGTGAGGATTGAGCAGAGAGAAGGACATGAGGGGCTGGAGGATGCCAACACGCTGGGGAGGATTGTACGATCACTGCAGGTCAGATATCGAGTAGGTGCCGCCCCTGAATTTTTTTCGCTTTTTAGCATTCTAAAAGTTTTTTTCATTTTTTTTTATTAAATTGTTTACAGTGTTATATCAAACCCAAATTTTTATAATTCAAGTTTAAAAAATGAATTTTATTTTTAGACCTCCGTTAGTATTCGTATTATTCAGCTGATATCTTCGACATTTAATTAATGCATGAGCTATGAAACTTTGTTCCAGCATGGATAGATAGCTATTTTATCAGTCAATATCAGTCTATTTCATAGCTTTCGTTTTTAAAAGGGGCGTCATAGATTTTTTATTATTTTCTTTTCCTTGCTCGTGTGTTGTACCATCAATACATTTTGATTCAGTCATCTACAAATGAAGTCACAATTTTATCAGCCTGCATAGGTAGAGCGGGAGGGAAGGGCTCAGCTTCGTCGACATTCTAGAACGTTTTTGAGATGATTTTGTTTTTCATTTAAAATGTCATTGCTAAAATTGATTTCGGCAGTGTATTTTTTTGTAAATTAAAAAATGTTTAAAAAATTCTCAACCATTGTTGCTGTCAGACTTTTTTTCAAGGAGGGGAGGGGGCTAAATTTTCCGGGGGGCGGAGGGGGGGACACTGGTAAAAGTTTATATTTTCTATATACATCCTACTTTCTTTGGGGGCGGTAGTGTGGGAGCCCACCCACCCCCTCCCCCGAAGAGTTGCCTGGAAGAAACTCAGTTCTCAACAAAGCTAATCTTGACAAACCAATAGCAACACATGCTGTAGAACAAAATAGCTGTTTTGTAAGGAGAAATGTCAACTTCGAGGGCCTGACTGACATTGTCTGAACATGGGAGAAAGGTTGGGATACGGACCCAAAACATCTGCTCAAATCGTGGCGTCATTTATGAACAAACCCTAAATATTGAGCTGTATCCACGATATTATTAATAGAACAGATATAAGACAAACGTTTACAGACGAAAATCACAAAGTTAGATAGATCTCAGATTAAACTATCACATTCCTTTTTCATCATATTGGTGTAAAATAAACTCTGTTTCAAGTTTAGCGCGAGATTTTCTTTTCATCGATCCATTGCTCCAAATGTTCCCTTTTCCTTTTTGCTTCCGTTTTTACGGGCTGTATTGTAACGTCGATCATGTACGTCCGAACCGTGCCTATCGATGTTTCCCGGTACGCTCATCAAACTTTTTCATCTTGAAAAACGTTCAAAAAGCCCGATTTTTTAACCGGCCGTTCATTTTTTTTTTTCATTCCTAGCGGCGATAGTTTGTTGTTCATATATAGAACCGAGAGCTTTTTATTTTATCCAATTCATTTATTCTTGTAGTATTCCATGTGAACCGTGTAAAAGCTATTTACCAACACCATGTTACAGTTTTCACAATCGTTATTTACCCACCGCTTAAAACAGAGGTTATTTTCAGTCTTTTCGTAAACCAATTTGTACAATTTTGTGTATATATATATATATATATATATATATATATATATATATATATATATATATATATATATATATATATATATATATATATATATATATATATATATATATACACTAACGTATCTGTCGCGCGTTTCTGAGCTCAAGTCCTATTTGCCAGGGTGATGCAACATTTGATAAGGATTTCATCAACACGTTACCAATTGTGTTCTTTTAAATAGGCTAGTCGCTATAATATTTCTTGAATCTTAGTAGTTTACGTTAACTCCCAGACCAGACGCTATAGTGTGTGCTGAATAAAAATCTTTGAGTATACGTTAATCCACCTTCGTAATATTGAGGTAGAACACACTTTGCGACCGAACAGGTGTCGGGAGCGTCGCGAGCCACTGGTTACATTACAGCATTGACGCCGTGTACGTCTCCTGGCGCCGATTAGTCATCGAATGCAATGGCCGACCTTGTCCCGATTGAAGGGTGCTCTTTAAAACTAATGTAGGCGCCAAGTGATCACAGGGGAGTCCGAGGTACTCCAGGTCACCTGACCGTCGTAGCGCGTCTCGTCGATTCAGTCAATGAATATAGTAGCCCATAGTGTATGGCACTTTTCAAAACGAACGTATGCACCATAATGCTCACGGGGGTGCCCGGGTTGATCCGACTCGTCCGCCAGAGATCCTATTCACTCATGCCTGAACGCTGACCCTCGGAGATTTAAATTGTTGTTTTTCGCAGGAACATTTCCAGGTAAAGTTTCAAGGCAATCGGATGAAAGGTGTATTAATGCATAGAGACAATCCTACTAGCAATCACCAACACCAACGTACTTTCATTTGTATATATATTTGTATATATATATATATATATATATATATATATATATATATATATATATATATATATATATATATATATATATATATATATATATATATATATATATATATATATATATATATATATATATATATATATATATATATATATATATATATATATATCGTGCGGCGTCAATTCGGCCAATGACGAAACGGCCCCGTCAAAACGACCCCGTCAAATCGGCCCCATCAAAAGGGCCAGCGACATATGGACCCCGTCATATAGGCTCCCGACAAATAGGCCCCCGTCTTTTAGGCTACCGACAAATAGGCTCCCGTTATATAGGCCGCCGACAAAAGGGTTCCAGTCAATAAGGCTCCCGACAAATAGGCTCCCGTCATTTTGGCTCCCGACATATAGGCTCCCGTCATTTAGTTTTTTTCCACAAAACGGCCCCCGTCATTATGACTCCCGACAAATAGGCTCCCGCCATTTAGTTTCTCCACAAAACGGCCCCCGTCATTACGACTCCCAACAAATAGGCTAGCGTCATTTTGGCTCACGACAAAAAGGCTCCTATCAATTTGGCTCCAGACAAAAGGACCACTGACAATACCGTTTCTGTAGAGACTAAGTCGCCCGGCAAAGCGGTCTCATTGAATATGACACCTGCCAGTGGGACCCCTTCATCAACATTCTTTAGAGTAGCTTATCCGACCATAATTTTAAAAAATATATAGTTAAAAATATAATTTTCTTGCATTTTTGACTTGATGGTTGTTATGTAAAAAGATTACTATAGCTGCGATTGGATTATCTTTTTTTCTAAAGACGCCACCCCGCGCTCTTGTATTCTTTTTCCCTTTGTTTTTAAACCTTTGTGAAAGCTGAGTCCTCTTTCTCCTACAATCAAACTTATCAAAGATAAGTAAACGTTCAAACCACTTCCATGACTTATTTCCCTTTTTAAAATAGTCAAATAGGGGTGCCCATAAGCTCCTTTAAATAGATTTGCACTAAACAAATTAAAAAGTAATTACTTCTCTTAATAATTATTTTTTATAAAGTTCTTACTAAAGAATGACATTGTACGAAAAGGAAATGCATTTAAAATTGATAATATAAATACAAAAAAAACATAAAAATAAACATAAAACGAGACACCATAACTTATACAAAGCTTTCATGTTTTATATACTTTTGACCGACTAGAAATCAAGAGATCTGATAGCAAAGATAAAATAAACCAGACGAGCCGACCAGCGGCGTATCATACGCCGCTATTTAGTTGCTTTATTTTCTACTTTTCAGTAATTCATAATTTGTGAATTCGACAGTACCAATGCTGCCACTGAAAATATTTGCTCTAGAACACTACCCCCCCCCCCCCCCATTTCCCCTAACCCCGACCCTACACCCCCCCCCCCCCCGTGAAAGCAGCCTCCTCTTAGTTACCTCCTGTAAGTTTAAAATCGTTTCAAACTAAATTATCTGCCCCCAATAGCCGTCACTAAACCCGGCTCTACGTTTTTTAAACATTTAGAGTGAACAACAGCTCACCAGACCATGTGGGGTGGGGTGGGGGTGGTAGTGATAGTGATAGAGAGAAAGAGAGGGGACTGCAAGGAGGAGGTTGCAGCTTGTTTTCTAACGTCTCCCAGAAGAGAATTATATATATAGATATTAAAAACAGACTATTGCAGGGGCGTAGCGAGGGGGGCGGGGGGTGCGGACCGCACCGGGTGACACCATTTAGGGGGGTGACACCAAGGCAAAAAATAGCAAAATATATAGAGAAAAATGATAATTCCACTTAATAGAGTGATTAATTGGAGTGTTAAATAGCCATTTAAGAGGTGGGGGGTGCAAATCGAAAGTTTGAGGGGGGGGGGGGTGCAAATCGAAGGTGTAGGGGGGGGGTGCAAATCTAAAGTTTGAGGGGGGTGTAAGTCGAAAATTGAAAGTTTGTCCCCGGGAAGGGTCGTTGAGCCTCTGGGGGGTGACACCATTAAGTGCCGCACCGGGTGACATCCGACCTCGCTACGCCACTGGATATAGATATAGATATCGATATAGATATAGATATAGATACAACTATTTTTGCGGGGTGGCCCATTTTTTCTAGTTCCGCCACTGAATACAACGTATGCATCTCTTGTTCGGCAGGCCTTATTTTTATATTAGTTTATCTATTATAAAATATAGTATGTTTTAATTTAAGGGTCATCTATCTATGACATCCATAATTGAGTCGATAGGCTGTTCCAACTCAGTGTGTGGGGAGAAGGGTCCACGCCATACCTTCCTACCTGCAGTATGCTTGTAGGTTATCAAAACAAGATGCTGTTATCATGTAAACATCATGTATATCATACATTTACACTTCTGTGCTCGCTTTTAAGCAACAGATCTTTTCTGTTGTAAATTAAACATTATCAAAACTTTAGAATTGGTGGAATTTAGCTGTTAAGGGCTCGATTTGTTTGTGAATTCATGTTGGTTCATGAAAAACAATTTCGTTCGGGCATTAAAAAGAATTTATAGTGGTATTGGAGGTAGGACAAAATGGTTACTTTTATGCCAATAATGGTCATTCGTTGGTCTGGAGCCAATATGTCGGGAGTCATTTTGTCAAAAGCCAATATGTCGGGAGCCCAATTGCCTGGAGCCAATATGTCGTGAGCCCATTTGTCGGGAGCCCATTTGTCTTGAGTCCTTATGTCG